CGTCGCCGTCGCGGTAGCAGCAGCACTGGTTGTGGTGGTCGTCGTCGCACTAGGGGCAGTTGTAGCAATGGTCGTAGTCGTAATAGTCTTTGAGTAGGCTCAGGATTAGGACTAGGACTAGGCCTAGGACACCGAAGCTTTGTAACGCTGGGCTGCAACTTGGTTCGACTTTAGGGGAGCAGTGGTTATGTCTCCCCAGAGCAAGGCTTGCGAACCGCGGACCCGGCACTCTCTTCCTGGCTAGGGAGCTTTTAATTGACAACGTGCTGGTGCCGTGCCTTTGACAGCAGCCAGCGCAAAAAACCTGGAGACAGCCGAGGGAGAAGAGTTTTCAGCTCTCCTTGATTTTCAACTTTCCTTGCTCCTCTTCAATTTCTCACTAATACTATGACTATGAGATCTGAGCCTCGCCTCTTGACCTTGACCGGAGGGAGGGACACACATCCACGTTCTGGATTCGGCGGGCCTTCTGTGCTGACAGCATTGCAGTTGCTGAAGATGACTGAACCTTAGGACATGCTCCAAGTCTCAGGCGCACATGACTGGCATAGAAGTCGTGCCCTTCAGTCGGTAAGATGTGGCCTCTTGGATTCGGCACAAAACTTGGTTGCAAACTGTGGAAACCCCCAAAGCACAACTGAGGCGGCAGCAGGGCTTCTCTGGGAACTTGCCAGGGTCCTTCAGAAGCAGACAAAGCAGGAGCTGTCGTGTGCTCTTGTCGGATCTTACCCAGACTGATGTGGACCGCTGCCTGGCAAACTTGACGTACCCGGCACACCCGCAGGCCTCAAATCCCAACTAGACACAGGATGAGGTGTCTGTACTGTTTTCTAAATTAGACAACAATGTTCGGACCGGTGCCTTCTTTGTTTCCGTTGTTAATGATCGGTCCTTCTTGCCCGGATCGGCCCCACGCTCTTCACTTGGCGGCCGGAAGAGGCAGACCCGCATGGTGCGCCCATGTACATACCTCACTTAGAAAGGAGATCAGGAAACAAGGGGCTGAAAGATGCCTATCCGTCACAGCATCAAGAGCTATGCCGCAATGAAAGACGAGGCAGGGTTCATCGACCAGGGAAACTATGGCTCAACGCACGATGCGACAAGAGGCCACCCACTGAGCTGCTTCACGGCCATGTTGGCATCAGCAGTGGATGTGTATGTCACCTTTCCTGCACCAGGTTCTTCTTTCACTCCGCTGGCTTTACTCTTCTGGGTCTCATACACCTGACACACGGCAGAAATGAGAAACCTGGAATACCTTCGGAGACAGATTTCGTCCTACGAATGATGCCTGGACATATGTGCATTTGTTTATACTATTTCATACATTAAATGTGTATATACAAACCAAAACAACATGAAAGGCCCCGTGCACCTCGGCCCAGGGACTGGCCATCGGGTCCTTGGAACTTGGAGGAGGAACGAAACTTTAAGGCAAGGGCTTCGGAGCTGCGGGGGCGAGAGCTTTGTTTGGACGAGGTCAAAGACATGGTTTGGGAGAGCTTGGACTTGAAGATTCACTGATTGCCTCAATACTTCACCATCTCGAAGTCAGGACAGAAGCTTCAAAGAACTGAGGCGGGGCCTTTGCTGAAGTTCGGCCCTAACACACTGCTTGGCCTATATTGGGCCTATATCCTGCCAGCATCCGCTAGACTCGCGGAGTGCCTGCACACCGCACATCGCATGTACAGATGGAACACGACGTCCGATTCCCAACCACGTCGTTTTGAGCTCCGGCTGCCAAGACACCTTTCCAAAGCTCGAAGTGCATGACTCGCCCCACTTCTTCGAAGAGTGATTTCAAATACTCCTGACAGGTGCGCTGCTCGAAATCCGGAGTCCCGGAGTCAAGTTTACACCCGGCGGCGTTTTGAAGTTCTTGACTCTTGACGCCCACACCCTGCTCAGACCGAACGCCAGGTCTGCCAAGTAGTGCAAACGCCCGCATCCCACTTAAGGTCAAACTTGAGTCAAACACACACACACACACACACCAGATGTCCTCGGGCACTCGCCTGGAGAGATGCGCAAAAAGCACCGAAAACGGATCGGTCCTGAAAACACCGAAGCACGAGAAATCTTGGGGAGCTGTAGACAGTAGATGGTGGACGCTCGGTCAGGTGCAAGGGGTATTGATTGCCACGTGCGAGGTCCCGAAAGCTGCTTGAACGATGCCAGTGCAGTTTCTGTTACAGACTGTTACTGCCACACAGTATGCGTGTCTGTATGCGTGCAGGTTGGCTCGGACTGTTGGCCCGCAATTGATTCCTTGCTTCCCTGATTCGCTTGCATCAGACCCGACGCAAAGGCCGGTCAGATTCAAGGCTGTATCCGGTGCGAGACCGAAGCTCCGCATCCACAACGTAACGGGTTTCTGCTGGTTTCTGTGTCGTCCGTCTCCACTCAACGTCCAGGCACTTCGCTTGACACGGCTCTGTGCCCCGTGCTGTACTCGCAGGTCACCCAGGAAGATCTATCCAGATCTTCCTCTGCCTTCCACGTGGAGAGATTCGGCCAAATAACAACCTCTTGGCAAGAATCCTAGAGCACGCAGCCACCGGTGCACTGCTTTGGAGTACCTGGGAAGACAGTGCGACCGTAAGCGCCGAACACGGTCACTTAGCTGATCCGCTGGTGGCAGAGAAAGCCATCCCTTCAGTGTCTGTCTGCAAGGGATACAGAGGATACTGGATGTCCAGTGCGCATCAGGGCCTGCCACTATGCATGCTAGCGCCGGCATGAACAGCATAAAGGAGCCCACGAGATCCACAGCTGATACACGACGTCTCACTAGCGTGCACTGCAATCCTGCTGGAGCCACGGCATCTCTCCTTGACATCGGAAGCGAACCAATCGACCCCCCTTTCGCTGCGCTTGTTCGAGTACCAAGCTGGTATGGCTGTTTTGGATCTGACGTGAAGAGCTCGGCTAGCGTGCTAGCCTGGCCAAGACCGTGATCAATGAGACCGCTTCGATAGGGAGGGGTGGGGGGGTTGTTGTTCAACAAGGGCGGGGGGGGGTTGTTGTTCGAAGACGAAGCGGGGGGGGAACAAGAAGAGGGCTGGTAGTGGGAACAACAGGGGAGGATGTGGTTGAAAACCAGAGAAAGGTTGTTGTTCTTATTACTACTACGGCGA